TTCTTTTTTATTTTTTTTTTTTTTTTTTTTTTTTCTTTTATCGTCAGATGATGTCAGAAAAAATAGCAGGTTTTCTCCGTGTTTCTATAGACTCTCTAGTTTGCTACCCGATATATCGATTCGGTCGAGCTCGATTCTAATCTCTTAATTCTCTCTTTCCCTCTCTCTCTCTCTCTCTCTCTCTCTCTCTCTCTCTCTCTCTCTCACACACACACACACTCTCTCGCTCTCAGTTTGCTTCCTCTTTAAACAAAATATTTCCGCTAAAGGCTAGCGATTTTTTTTTTTCTTTCTTTACCAGAACGACGCTCTTAACACGTTCAGTGTCCTCTACCTAATCTTCAATACTCCCTCACATTTAAATAGTAAACAAGCTAAACACTTGTGGGCTATCGATCCGACTGCGAATGAGAACGCTGACAAAAGAAAATCAATGATATGTACAATTCATCTAACTAAGTATCTAATTGTATTTACAGTGATCCTGGACAACTGCTTATCCCTATTTAAGAGTAGGCTGTACATTTGGAAATTAACGAGAGCTAGAGTTATAGCGGACAATACAAGTTCGATTTGTAATCTCCTCCCAGAGATTTCATCGCTTGGCGTTTCTCTTTCTTTTTTTTTTTTTTTTTCGTTTTTGTTTTTGTTTTAATTTAACCGTAATCTAAGGAGCGAAGGTAGCTACTTCAACGTTGCACAAAACAATTCGAAATATTACAAAAAACGCGACCACTTCGTTGAATACGTATATTAGCATTCGACGTTTTCGTTTCGAGTTCCGTATCGCTTCAACTGCCAATTGCTAATTGCGCAATACTAAATGGATCCTTGTCCATCGGTGACAAGCGACCATTAAATATGTATTATTAAATATGTAATTTGTTCCACAACATTGGAACAAATAAATAAGAAAAAATAGGGGAAGAGGGGAGAAGCTAAAAGAAGTTTCTTCGATTTTCTGTGTTAACACTGAACGTGTTAATGGCTGGTCGACGAAAAATATTGATATAGTGTTCTCGTTTCTCGTTTCTGTCCCTCTCCGAATGTTCTTTTTTGTTTTTGTCCAGACTTTCGCTAGCTTGTAGGGCAGAGTTACATACAGATCGCTACTGCTCTATAGTTTCTCGATAAAATATGTGTTATATATATGTATATGTAATATATTGTCCCGTTACACTCGATCACCAGTAAGTTTACACGAACGTTTTTCTTTTTTTCCTTTTTTTTTCCTTTTCTTTTTTCGTGTTCTGCAACGTTCAAGACGCGTTACAGGATCGTTCAACCAATCTTTTTTTTTTCTTTTTTTTTTTTTTTTTTGAAACGAACAAGAGGGAAGCTAAGCGCGTAGTATAAAAAGATCAATTTACATTTACTTCACCGTCCTCGAGAAGAAAATGGCAATTTCCTTTCTTTTGACTGCCTCTGTTTTCGTTAATCTTCGAATAAGTCCGAAATAACGAGGTTCTGCATTATCACGATTTCCACGTCTTCATCGACTCCGTCAGATTAACCTCTGGATTTGAATTTTCTTTCCTGCATCGGGATTCAAAAGCTTCCTCACAGAAATAACTTCCTTTCTCTCTTACTTTTGCAAGAAACGAGTTTAAAAAAAAAAAAAGTTACAAATTTCGAAACGAAAACTCTTTCTCTCTCTTTGTTTAAGAATTTCCTCGATTCAGCTCCTCGATCGAACCTCAGTAATTCGAACTTCCTTTCTACCAATGTGGAATCTTCAACGACCACAGTTTTTAAACTTAATGGTGACCAGTTTTCTTTTTCTTTTTTTTGTTTTCCTCGTGTGATCCGTAGCTGTTAATTGAACGTGTACTTTATGATCTAGTCTCCTATGGCCGTTATTCCCGCCAGCTCCTAGAACCGTATGATACAAGAACGCCTAAGCTAAAATAAGTTGCAGAGACAAATCTCGTTCTTTCAGAAGTGCACAAATTTCCTTTAAACAATCACGTTTGGAGAAACTCGAGGAGACTTCTTAATTCATCGATCGCCTAACTTGTACCTTTTAAGTTTTGAATATGGTTGAATATGGTTTGTGCATATGGTCCGATGAGAGAAAGAAATATGTATGTCTGTGCACTCCTGATATCTCAAGTCAAGACACTTCGAACTATCTCTCTTCTCACACTCTCATAGATTCTCTCTCTCTCTCTCTCTTTCTCTCTCGCTTTCAGCCTTCTCTTCTAACAGTTGCAACACTGGGACCTTCACCAAGAAATTCCTCCTCTGCTGAAAACACATTTACCACATTTACTGCTCAAATTAGCCAATAGTTTTTAGTTTCGGAAATTCATCGATCAGGCAAGTATCTTTGAACTTTCACACGTCTAACAGAGAGACAGTTGTTTCACTGAAGTTTCGTGTAAAAGTTCGCAGAATCTTACAAACCAGAATGTGTGTGTTTACATCGTTTGAAATTACACTGTTCATTCACAACACGTAGAGAAGTTATTGATCGATTAAAGAAGTCCCAGCGACCGCGAGAAACATTCAAGTCTCACTTCCAATTTCTCTAGGCTCTCCTTCCGTTCCAGTACATCCGTTTCCTTTTTTTCTTTTTCTTTCACCTTGACCGCCGACGACCTTTAATCGTTCGAAAAATCAGCCGAAATGCAACCGCAGAAAGTAAAAGAAGTCGACACATCTTACGGGATCATTCTGTTCCTCTCTCGCTTAGAATCCCGTGCAGCCTCGTCGAAAGTCGCAAATTCCAGACGTGAACAAAGATGTTTTCCATGCTCATAACATAACGCACTCGGTAATCATTCCGGTGGAGGTGGCTGCACGCTTTCAGGAAGGATGAAATAAATCCCGGATTAGACCTTAGAACAGGAATTATTGACTATATATATTAATAGTACCATACTGAATTGTAGATCCGCGTGTTACATTCATCATAATTTATCGCAATGAGTATCATAATCTTAACTTGTATACATAGTTCGTTTCAATTACCTAATTAAGACAGTTCGGAACGGTATACGGGTAAAGAACATTAGTGAGACCACCGAACATTCCATTTCTCTCTCTCTTTTATCTTTCTCACTCGCGCAATTTCGTTCACTCTCGCTCACGTTCGCTCTATATATATATATATATAATGTGTATGTATATATATATATATCGTTATCGTTTATTATTTAATACTTTAATAAAGGATACGTCGTAACTGCTTCAGCGCCCTGAGTCGAAATCAAGATACATACCGGTGAAGATAGTACGAAAAAACGAAACGGAGCGACACGGGTGCGCCATTATTATGATTACGCCATATACATATACATTTATTTATTTATTCATTCATTTATTTATTTATATATATATATACTTATATTATATATATATAATTTTTCTTCTTCTCAGATAATATTTATATTTTCAACGTTATATCTTCTCGCACGAAATTCTGAAATATATAGTCGGTTACGTATGCACCTGCACAATAAGCGCGCGTCGTGTGCACATGTATACGCAAAAAATACGTAACTTTACATCTTTTACTATAGATACATCATGCATCGGCCAACTATGTATAATTTTCCACGATGTGTATGCACGTTTAGAATCAACATGAACCTGAAACCAACTGCAACGTCGCTCTCCCCTGCTATAATATAATATGGAAAGATGATTTTGTTTTCAGTTAAACTCGACATATACACTTCAGTATATAGTAAAGCTTGTACATGGAATTACTTTGGACCTCCTACCTCTTCTAACGAAACGTTTTTCATTCTCTTTTCTTCGTTCGAAATCCTTCATTCATTTCTTATTCTCAAACGTACATGTACACACACGCACACACACACACACACACACACATATACACACGTTCTCTTTCTCTCTCTCAAGCTCTGTCTCATACTCTGCCAGCCTTCCCCTCGATCACTGGAAAACACTACAATATCGATGCAGTACTATCACAGTCAACTCTTACGGAATAGTTGCATCCACGCCGCATCTCATGGAATTCTAAACGCCATACGACTCGTATAGTTTCTTTTTTTTTTTTTTTCATTTTTCATTTTTATACTTTGTCTCTAAACTCTCTATTTTTTTTTTTCGTTTTTCTTTTCTTTTCTTTTGTTTCTTTTAATTGCCTCGTCAAAACTGTGTGTGTATGTATATATGTCTGTGTATGTGTGTGTGTACACTGAGACTACGTGTATCTTTTGAAGGTAAGGCAACCGCCGTAAACTGAGTAAACCCGTATATATGATTATACTCAATTAGCAGTAGAAATATATATATATAATATAATATAATATATATATATATTTTTTTTTTCAATTGGAAATTCGTCAGCACCGTCGTGTTTTCCAAAAGGACGATCCAACAATCGACTTCGATATTCTTTTCTCCTTCTCCTTCTTTTCTTTGCGAGGACGGGCCGGTGTGTTACGGGTGACATATAATATAACAAGAGCAAGCAGGGCACATTTCCTAGGCATATTACACAGTATTTACAAAGTTGGTGCTTCATCTGCTCTGTTCCACAATTAGAGCTCCTGCAAAAAAGAAAAAGTGATAACACACTGTCAAAAACTCACAACTGATATTAAATATATAGCAGTGTTTGGATAAGTGATTATACTTTCTTTAATTAATCTTTTATAGACAATATAAATTCTACAAGTGAAGTTGTTGAACGGTTGATTGGACGGAGACATACAACGTTAACCAGAACTTGGTGCCATTAGTAAATGAACCTGGTAACAACTATGGATGTATTTAAATTGAAATTGTGTATCATTGGGCAAGTATTTCAAAAATGGAATCTGTTCAACAGCTGTTAATTGTTAACAAACAAAGCTGCCTTTAGACAGATTCGCGTGATCATGCTATATTATACATTAATCACAAACATGTGAAATACAGTTAATCACAGTATGCTTTGATATGCACAGCTTCGTTCCTTTTCCTTTAAAAGGGGACGCTCTCTAGAGCTAAAATTGGCAGGTTTACACATTTCGTTTATTTTTCTGTTTCATTCACAAACTGACTGATTAAAATCCAGGAAGAACTCAGAACTTGGATAAACCAGATACATAAAACTAGTTGAGTATCAATTTCTGGAATTTCTGTTTAATTAGAATTATATTGTACAATTTTGTCACGTTTCAGTTCACGACACAAGGGCATAACAAATAGATACCTAATCTCTTCACAGGGCACCAAATGGGTCAAGTTGGACTTGATTATTTTGTGGCTGCGGAACAGCCTGGGGTTGTTGTTGTTGTTGTTGTTGTTGCTGTGGCTGTGGTTGCTGCTGGAGATTAGCACCCATCATGGGATTCGTGCTGGGCATCATCATTGGCGCAGTCCCTCCTGCGACCATCATGCCACCGGGACCACCAGGCATTGCACTCATCATTGGCCTCATGCCTTGCATGCCCTGCATGCCCATTGGCACACCTTGCATTCCCTAGGGACACCAGAAAGCCAACAGGTCAAATACAGCCTGTAGTTCTGGAATTCTTACTGCTCACTCGGTTCTTTTGTCTTCTTTAATAACATCCCCGACGTCTAACTATTCACATTCAATAAAATTACAACGCACATTGAGCTCATTACGTTTTTTAACACTTTGTATTTGGATTCTTTTGATTTGCAACGTAAGTTCTTTTATGTAGTTAAGTTTGGGTCAGTTTAGATGTGTTTGAATATATGGAACAGTGTATTTACATATCTACAAAATCTGTATCTAGCATACAATAAATACCTATAAAAGTAGCGTTAAATTTATTATACAATAGAGTATTTCATATGCAATGATCCAACGACACATTTATGACCAAGTTTGCCGAAGAAACTAGTTTAAAGATAAATAAACATACAAGTGCATCACACACATATGAATGCAAAGCGAGGAATCATTAGGGACATCGATAGGAACAATGGTTACAAAATTCTATGAACTATTCCTTTACAATCGACAATTATAAAGAGAAGGAAACTTCGTCGTTTTTCAAACACTTGGTGAAGATTTATTCTCTTGACGGTGTAATTTGTTTTCCACAGAATTAGTTAGCAACAACAGAATTAGTTATGTACAATAAAGTGGAGTCAAACCTTTGATCAAGCAGTACTGTTCGTTTTTACTACAATGTTTAATTCTTTGGAAAGTAGAACTTACCAGTGGCGCGGTGTGGGGAGGAAAGCCCAAAGTGGTTGAAGGGAGTTGCGTCATTCCTTGTCCCTGTAACAGCAGGTAGCATGCCGTATGCCATGCATGCATTGTACAGCTAAGTGTATGGGTCAACGAATATATTCTCTATGTTTTTTTAACAATCATTCTCTCCATATATACTCTATATATACTACAGTGAAGGACGTATCTTACAATTCTAATTTATCTTAATCTATAGGAGATCTAACGTAATTTACACTTGAGAGTAAGTTTATCTTGGGTGGACCTTGGATAACTGTGCTCAGTGATATTCAAGTATAAAACAATGCATGGAGCAGTCAAACGTGCAAGGCGATAAACGAGCTAAAGTGTTTGTTTCAGTCAGAGTATTAGAGAGGATATGTACATATATGTATTAAGTATATAAAGTATATACGAAAGCTTATTGAGCGACGAGAAGCAAGCATGCTACGATAATCGAAATAAAAATAATGTAAGAAATTATTTGTGAGTGTTCCCTTAATACTAGACTCGCTTATCGATTATACTTTATGCGTGTATGAACACAGAACGGATCAAACACGATTGCGTTGCAAATCCGAAAATGAAGATGAATATTTATAGCTAATAGTAGTCCGATAACGATTAAGAATAACATGCTGATAATGATTCAGTGTCAGAGAGTAGATAAAGATGTTTGACATATAGTATAGTATAATAATAATAATAATAATAATAGGGATCTGGTAGCCAAGATATCGCGTTCAACAACAATGTACTGATAGTGACCTACTGTCAGAGAATTAATCAGCACGTTGAACTCACCATTGGGCGATACCCGGCGCCAGTTGTAGCTGCCATAGGCTGTGGTGTCCATCCTCCAGCTGGGCCACCAGTTTTAGCAGCGTTTTTAGGAGAATTCCATTGCATACCTCTGAAAAAGGACAAATATGTTACTTTCTTGCCCCATTGAGATTATTTTTGTTTTCAAAGAATTTTGTACTTGTCTTACTTGACTTGCTGCTGCGCACTCTTGTTGATGGTCAGATTCTGGGCTAGACTAGCAAGGCTGCTGTCCAAATCGCCGGTCAAAACTTTTCCAGTAGCTGCTGCGTTCTGCTGTTGTCCTGCTGCTGAAATATTATTATCTCCAGCTACAGTGGTAGGCATCAGCACCGTGCCCAAACCGTCAAAACCTAAGCAACATCTACATCAGCCAAAGCTCTACAAAGCATAACCCAAGGTTGCACGTTCTTACTGTACATTGAATGATACATGAATAAGGAGAGCCAATTTTTGAACATAAAAAAAAAGCATGGATTTTAATAGAAAGAATGTCAACATCGAGCTACTTGACTAGCTGGGATAAATTACAATGAAATAAAAGAACATATCCTTTGATTTTGCACTTTTGTGAAGTTTACAATATTTGCAAATACACTGGTATTGGGTATGAAAAAGCCATGCTTTTTACTGTGGAACAGAATATACAGTGCGAATGTGTATCATTATCTTGACAGATAACAACATGTACGTATTTATCGTTTTACTGTACCAAATAAATATACAACATATAATCACTTAATTCCTTGCAGTTTAACTTGCAACGTCACAATTTGTCAATATCCAACTGCAAGAAATTAAAAGTAATAGGAAAAAGTAAGAAACATTTCAAGTACATAATACATAATTTACATTACGCATTTATAATTAAATTTATACTAAATAAACGACTGTATATTGCTATCAATACAATTTTATCACTTGACTAATTAACCTTACAGTCATTTATCTAGGAACTAGATAAGATGGACAAGAAAAACATATCTACAAAAGTTTAAAAAAAAAAAAAAAAAAAAAAAAAAAAAAAAAAAAAAAAAAGACAAAAAAAAAAAAAAAAAAAAGAAAAGTTCCCTTGCGAACGAATTAAATCAAGGTCTCACGTTGTTGAAGGAATCGATTTGTGTTATTTGCCGAGACAGAAATTAAATAAAATTGCGAGATATTCGTATCGTTCAAACAAAATATTCGGAGATAAAATTTTCACCGTGAATTCTGAAAATTGATCTCGCTTCGAATTTAGTTCTCTGTTGATTATTTTTTCCGATAGAAATTTTATTTATTCAATGTCGAACGAACGGAGAAGAAATTAAAGTTAGAGAATTGAAAAAGAATTTTTCTGCAATGAATCACCGATATTTAAAATAGTGAGTATACTTAAGCGATATAAAAATGAATATACCTAGTGAGTATACTTGAGTATACTTAAGTGATATAAAAGTGATACTAGTGAGTATACTTGAGTATACTTGAGTAATATAGAAATGATACTAGTGAGTATACTTCAGTATACTTAATTGATATAAAAGTGATACTAGTGAGTGATACTTGAGTAATATAAAAATGATACTAGTGAGTGATACTTGAGTATACTTGAGCGATATAAAAATAATACTTGAATGAGAATCTTTGATGAAACAATTGTTGAATCTTTTGAAAAGAAAATCCTCGTTAATAAATATGTTCAAATTTCACATATTAGTGGAGTCTTCTAACTGTGTTCTCATTGTTTTTTGTTGCAGGCATTCCTGGAAATGGCGGATGAAAATTCTGCCGCGACGATGGTGAATTACTATGCATCGTGTATGGCTCAGCTGCGTGGCAGGGCAGTTTACGTTCAATTCAGCAACCATCGGGAACTCAAAACAGATCAAACGCACACCAACAACGCGGTGAGTAATTCAACACTTGTCTGTAAAATGTTCCTTTGCGAATTTGAGCCACGGAAGCCGGTTGAAATGACCAATTTAACACGCGTAAATTTTATTTCACTTTATTATATCATTTAATATATTTCGAGGATCTTGATATATCCTTTAATATAATATTTTATTTTATTATTAATTTTCCGATATATATCGAGGATACGATTTGAAATGTGTAAATTTGTAGTCGTCTTTTTTTCTTTTTAATTTTCCGCTAGAAATTTTCTGCTTCAGTGAATTTTGTTAATTCTCACGTAAACGATCGCTTTCACGACCGTCGTGAACCCTATAATTTTATAATTTTATAAAACGAAAGTAAACTTCGAGTTCGAGGCGAAGCGTTATTATGAATACAAATTGCGTTTGCCGTGGTCGTATCATAATTTATGGCTCGACCGCGCTCAGGCGAAGTTGGAAAGATTTCTTTAACTTCGTTTTAATTCCTCGTTGACCAGCCCGAGTCGAAGCTTCGTCCACGCTCATCCGCTTCGCGCTTTCGATCGTTCCGGTTTTTCATTTCGCGGATTTAAATTCGGACTCACTTAGAAGAGACGTTTACGTTTGTCGGACAAGTAGAAATTCCATCGCGATGTTTTCACTCGGGAAAGAACGTTTCTTTGAATGATAAAATACTCTGCCACAACGCGGGGCAGCAAGCTCAAAGAAAATCCGCATCTTTTCTCCTCTAAATTGTCCGACGGGAGCGTATTCAGCGCTATCTGCCGGCCCAAAATTAGTATTAAAAGCGTGGAAAGAGCCGTGAGGACTGAAAAACATAAGCGTTTCTCGAGGTTTCTCGTGGCTACGTGGCACCCGACTGTGTGTTCAGCGTCGACTGAATATGTGAAAAAAACTAAGCACGCGGTAATTTGTGCAAGAAAGACCTCTTCTCGATTCGACGTCCCTCCGTATTCGCTTATCGCGCAGCCAGCTGGCGCAATTACTTTTTAACGAGTAGATTAAATGTGTGTTCTTTGGATTCTCGCTCTCGCCAAGCAACGACGAAACGAGAATCGTGTTTCTAGGAAAAGTTAGACGATTGTTGCTCTCTCGGCAGGTTTCTAGAACATTTATTATCATAGTTATTTCTCTGTATATCATTGTGATTCTCAGCGTTAGCTAGACTGTTGTTTCATGATTTTTCGTGTATTTATCGTGATTTTTTCCGAAGCAAAGTGCGCTCTTGCGCGAGCAGAACTCAAACCGAGATTTGTTTTATCAATCTCTTGAAGATTGTAACTAGATCGTCGCAGTTTTCTCTTGCAAAAATTGAAAGGGGGCCTTTTTACACAGGACGTGTACGCGAACGTGGTACGAATGGGAAACGCGTTAATTAATCACGTTCATCGAGTAATATCGGTCGGAGAGATCGAGAGGTGATGGGGAGGCAATATCTGAGTCTCGAAAACGCGTTTCACAGCCTTTGAAGGGAGATTCTCGCCCAACATTGTCGTATAAAGCTTCGATTATGCGCTTCCGGCGAGATACACCGGCCAAGATATTGATAATCGAACCGTGAACCCGGGCCAGCGACACAAGTTTCGGTATCAAGACATTCGATCTATATTTGTGTCTCGTGTGTACTTCGTAAGTTTCAAAAATCTTCAAATAACGCGTGTGTTATCTCGATAATTTGACTTACCTCGGAGAGATTTAGATTTGAATTGTCAAGAAAATGGAGAGAGAAAAAGGAGGGAAAAGAATGGTGTCTCGATATCAGTCTGCGACAAAATACATAATCCGACGGTTCGTCAATGACGCGGTTCATCAATAAACAGCCGAGTCCAGAAACTCCATTATGGCTAACGCGTCCATAATTTATGAACAATCCCCAGGGCAACCGAGTCCATCTTGCTGATCCTGTCTTAGCCCTATTCTCTGTTCGGCGGACACTGTCCGTCATATAAGTTGTCTTTGTAGATGTTCACTGTCTCCTGCACGTGTCTCTCTTTCTCTCTCTCACTGTGTGCAACTGTCATCCCTCTGCTCGACACATTGTGGTCATGTATCCTTGGTTATTCGGTATAATTTACTGTTGTACATCGGTCTAGGAATGCCCTTTGTCAGATACAAACGGATTTCGATTTTTTATCTTTTCGTTCTTCCTCTTCGTGACGTATCAATATCTAGTATCGACTAGTACAATATCTGGTAGTATAATATTCCACTTGCGTGATACTAGAGTACTAACATTATCAGTATCTAGTATCGACTAGTACAATATCTGGTAGTATAATATTCCACTTGCGTGATACTGGAGTACTAACATTATCAGTATCTACTATCGACTAGTATAATATTCCACTTGCGTGATACTAGAGTACTAACATTTCATGTCTAATTACTTTAATGTCGTAAAATTCTAAAGAATGGAAAATTTTCCAATTTTGTCAAATAAAAAAATTAACCTTAATAAATATATGATACTATATGTAATGTAATATAATATTATACTATAATATATATACTAGAGTACTAACATTTCATGTCTAATTACTTCAATGTCGTAAAATTCTAAAGAATAGAAAATTTTCCAATTTTGTCAAATAAAAAAATTAACCTTAATAAATATATGATACTATATGTAATGTAATATAATATTATACTATAATATATATACTATATACTATAATATTATACTATAATGCTATATAGAACTAACATAATACTATGTAGAATTTATATTAGTATTTAGTATCTAGTATCACATTTTATTATTATAATATAATACTATATAGAATTGTTGTTAGTATTTAGTATCTTATATCGCTTCTATTAGGCTACTGAAATTCCAAACTAACTGATCGCGTAGTCACAGTTTTCAGACAGTTTCCACGAACGAATCGAGCGTTTTCAATTCCCTCTCTCTCTCTCTTTCTCTCTTCGTTCTTTTGTCGTTTCGTTTCGTTTCTTTCGATTTGTTAACCGTAATAAAATTCCCCTCTTCAGCTACTCGAATTTGCCGGTTCAAACAGTCGGTCGCGTCAATTGTACTTCTCTACCAGCTCGATTTACCTGTACACACGTGTCCCATGAAAAACAAATCCACTCGCTACGTACGAAAAGCCTCGTCTCTCCCATTGTTCCCCGTTTCTGTTTGTTTCGTTTGTACAACGGGGAGCCTTTCGATTTTTCAACACGATTCTTCCGACGGTTGGACAACCGTGCCGCGTCATTTTTGAAAACCAATCGCCTGGTAAGGTTTTATATTTTTGCAGATTGATATTTTTCTCGCCGAAACATCTCTTGCGAGGTTTTCCGTCACAGCGTATTTTCGACGTTCGACGTTTCTGGATATTTTTAAATCAAATACTCGACATATTTGCTACTTTACTGATAATTCCATATTTTTACAGAGAAACTGTATTGAATTTCACAGAGATAAAGTTCCGACGACTGTTTGGACAATGTCGAACTTTTTTTTTTTTTCATTGAAATATTCATTGCTTGTTAAATTTTATGAATTTACGAATTTCACGCTCACAAAGTGTGAAAATTTGACGCGAACTATTTTTGCTGCGAGTCTCTCGAGTGGTTGAAGTTAAGAAAGTGCACGGTTAGTAGCGCGAGTACGTCATTGGTCAGACACGTGTAGGCTCGAATGGAGCGTAGGTTTAATACTCCATTAAATTCGCTCGTTTTCGATGGCTGTTCGAGTCGATTCTCGTTTTCATCGGTTTGTTGAACGTTAATTTGCAAATATTTCCTCGGACGATATTGCAGTGTTTATTTTTTAATCCAGGTTTTTGTATAATATTCGAAGCAGAGCAAATTGTCTGCGGTAGAGATACGCGTTCTTGTGTTTTTATTTAATTGTTATTTCAGAGTTAAGTAAATTGTTTAAAAATTCCCTCCTGTTCATTTACAATTCGATGAATGTTCTACATTAATTTCTTCCACTAATTACCAGATATATAATATATTGATCATCATTACCATGCGAGAGATATAATTAAACACAAACAGACTCGCGAGTTATATTTTTCTCGTTCTCTTCTCTTTTTCCACAAACGAAGCTTAAAATAGCGAAGCTTTATTTTTTACATTTTTCACGTAGCAGCTTTATTGGACACATCGCAAGTTACATGACAGAGCGTGTAGACCGCGAACGTGACTTTCAACTGTTTTTCAAACCTCCGGTAACTTTTCCAGCAGAAAAATCGCAATTTAGGGAACGAAATTAATTACGTGGCCAGGGTAATCGATAGGATTCACACGTTTGAAGAAGCGTTGCTCGTAAGGATCGCGGGGAATTAGTTGCCGGATGAAATACGCTTCCGATATCCGTAGTATTTATTTCCGCTGTTTTTGTTGTTGCTTTTTTTTCTTTCCTGCGAGCTGAAAGAAACGAGCCGGCCAACTTTTTCTCGCAGTTTTCTCCCCGCCATAAAGCGAGGAAATTACTTATTAATTACGAAAGTTTTCTTGGCCGCGGAGCAGACGGCGAAACACGAGCTTTCTCTTTCCTCTACCCTTTTCTTTTTTAATCGAAAATAGTTTTAATACACAGAGAAAAATATTTCACGAACATGCGTGAGATACACTGTATTTGCAATTTTGTTTTATTTATAATTTTTAGAGGTTTCAAATTTTTTGATGTACGAGTCATTTACGAGTTGAAGTAGAATTTCTCTAACTGTAAACGAGTTGCCTGTGTTTGATTTTATTCAGCTTCTCATTGCAGCTTTTCCAAACTGTTCTCATTTCGATTTTATTAAAATAAATCCTAGTCTGCGTCCTGTTATATTCACAAAAATCTCCCTGCTCTACCAATAAAATTGCAAAATATTTTATCCGACGCGTACACACAACGCATTCGCGAGTCGACGAATATATTTAGGGGAGTCATCGCCCTTATTTGTCATTTGGCTGCTCGCGTGATCGCGAAACTTGCCGTTCCCTGTGGAATCGGTGTCCGTTTCCGGCAAGTTGCCGGATCACCGGGGAGGAAAGAGCAGTTTGACAAC